GTCCTGCTTCCCCTGAACAAATTTTTGCTCACTTTTGTTGCAGTGGAAGCAGCTCTACCATGTGCTGCTCGAGATTATCCAGGGCATGTTTCCAGGCGCATCGGGATGGTCCTACTCTCATGATGGCAGGTTTGGTGTGATGGCAGAGAGCCAGGATGCTTGGGAGACCTTCATTGCTGCAAATCCCTGCTTGCGGCCATTCGCAAACTCAGGGTGGTCTCATTTCCATCTCATGAGTGAAATCACGGACGCCACGTCTTCAATGCTGCCAACCCTTGTACCCCTGCCAATGCAACCAATACCAGTGCCCAGCCTGCTGTATCAACACATGCTCCTCTTGCTAGCCGTGTCAGTGCTTCGGGCCATGATACTGATGCCGCCCGGCTTCTTCTCAGCCTCTCGCAGGAGGGTACCCAGCTGCCACCTCAGAACCATGATGACAACAGCGCTCTCTCTCCATCCTTCAACTGGAGTGATCTGAGCTTCGACTTTTCGCAATCTGATAGCTATGACTATGACTCGTTGCAGTCGCAACTGCTTACCGACTGGTCACAGAGCGACTATGGCCAGTCACAGGACAGCAACAAGTCGCAGTTGGACAACTTGGATCAACACCAGCAGCAGGGAGCTTTTGCTCCACCACCTTCCCCTGTTATCTCCCAACCACCCGCTCCAGTGGCTGTAGCTGCTGCTCCTGCCACTACCCCAGCATGGTCTCGCAAGTGTGCCCTTGAACATGACAGCAACACTCCTTAGAGCTCCTCTAAGCATTGTGCCATGGGTGCCGATGCAATGTTAGGTCTTGTGTCATTGGTGAACAAGATCAATGATACAATGTGCTTCTGCTTTGCACCACCCAAGTCACCAACAAAGACCGAGGAGGCAGCACGAAAGTTTGTTGAAGTAATCGGGTTGGCAAACCCGAGTCATCGCCGAGTGATGACGTCAGCGCTGGGCCATGCTCCGGCGCCATCACCGACGCGCAGCATCGGGCACTTTCTCCAAGGTTCCATTGACTCAGGTTAGAGAATTTACTAGAAAGAACTATACAGTATAAATAGTTGATTAGTTTACTGTAATAAACATCGAACATTAGTCTTGTTTCTTCAACAAAGTTTGCGAAGGAGGATCGGGACAAAGGCCTTATCACAGCTGAGGAGCGAGCGCAGCTCAACCTTATCTTTGCAGAACATTGCTCAGCAGCAGAGGCATATGCTGAGGAAGCAGATGGTGAGGATCGTGTTGTCCTGGCAGGTCTTCTTATTCAAAAGCATGGTCATCTTTGATCTTTTTAATCACGCTTGTTACTTGTCATTTGTTTGCATACTGTACTTGGCTGTTTAATACCTAATCTACTGGTTCAATAGTTAGATCTACATCCAGAAGCTCTTATTGCATCTCAAGTGCCCGTTCTCGTAGAATCTCCTGATAGTCCTCCCACATTGCAGCTGCTATACCATCCCGAGTATTTTCTGCTCATTATTTCTCCACTGCCCCAATACACTCTGATGTTGAGAGAAGACCAAAGTCTATGATGGGCACACAGCGAACGGTACCTGGGAACATATCTTCGGCCTGCTCATCAACAATCCACCAGTCAAGATCTGTTGGATCGTGGTCCATGATGAAGTTGTGCACTGCACACAATGCTGGGGGGATCCTAGCCTGTTTCTCCATCTTGAAGTGTGGTGCACATTGCAAAATACGCCAGCGATTTTTGATGACTCCAAAAATTTGTTCGACTACATTTCGAGCTGAGACATGACGGAGATTATAGAGTTCTTTGGCAGTCATAGGTCTGTTTTAAATAAGTGTCTGGTCTAAAAAATGATGAAAACTTACCGTCTGTTGCCACGTGCCCATTCTGCAAGATGATATCATACAAGACGGTAAGGAACAAGGAGCGCATCATGGATCCCAAAGCCAGCATCTGCAAGATACCTCTTTCCTGCTGGAATGTAAGCATGCTCGGCTATACATTGTTGCATCTGCAGCACAACCATCCCAACCCCCAGTGAAGTAGAGAAATCACATGTCGAAAAAGACTGCTGCAAGGCAATTTTGGGAGACACCGCCTTTGTGATTGCATGCACTATGTATATCCTCTGCTGATGGTATACATGCAATGTGGGTACCATCAATTGCACCAAGGACATCCTTGAGGTAGGGCCACCATTTTGGATTTGTTCGGATTGCGGCTGGTGGAGGAGCATCGGGATTGGGGAGTCATACAAAAGCAGTATAAAAATCTTGGCCTGAAAGAATACCCAGTATTTTGTGAAAGTGCCTGGAAAATACTTGAGCGGTGTTTGATTAATATAGTTTTGATTTACTGTGGCTGGACATAGACCATCACCCCAAGAAGAATGTACTGCAAGAGGGCCATGATCGTGGCAAGTTGCCACGATCATGGCCCTGTTGCCACTGGCAACAGCCCATCGGACGCGCAGTGGGTGAGATGGCGGTGGGGGAGGCATTATAGTGAGATGCCAGTGTTATCATAATCACGATCTACTTAATTGATATTACTCAAGCGACCTTGCCGACTTGGCAGCTCACAACAGCTCACGACAGCTCACACGCTCCCGGAGTGGCTCTAAGGGTCTGCCTGCTAGGTATAGACTGAAGTTGTCCGTAGCTGCTGCTGTCGGGCACAGAAGGCTTAGGCAGCATCACTGGCCAGGTCCCAGGGTGACTGTCTGGTGGGCATTGACACAGCTGTGATGGGGCGGGCTTGAGCGGGGGTCGGACCGGAATCAGAATTGGACCAGAATTGGAATCGTCTCCGGGGGGCTGAAAGGGAGGTTACCTGACATTGCCCCCCCCCTTTTTTTTTTTTTTTTTGAATGTGGTGTGTTGATGTATAGACCGGAAAGGGATATTGTCAAAGGTTGCAGAGGCAATGTGCCATGGTTGGCCGGGTACTTACAATAGAACTCCGCAACTTTCTTCAGGGCAAAGACACAGTCGAAGCAGACCCACTGGTGATGCGATTTGTCGTAGCCTTTCCACCTGACAAAGTAATTCAGCCATTTAGCATCCAAGATTTCATCTACTTCCCATTCCAAGTCCGGGACTTGTCCCCTGACAATATGACTGTTGAAAAGAAATCTTGAAATGGTCTAGGTTAGCCTTACACGTTTGTTAATAATTTGCTTGGAACTTAATAGATTTACCGCAAAACAAAACTAAATAAGTACAGTCTGAGCATTGGTGTTTAAGCGAACCAGCTGATATCACCCTCTACCCTGCGAGGGCCGAAAGCAAGGTCATTGTCACGGTGTTGATACCGTATTAATACAGTTTTCCCTCCGCTAGTATTTGAACAGTAGATCCGACATCCCCGTTTGTCTGTACTTCTTGAGCATGACCATATTGATCTTTGTACCTCCAGCTTGCAGCTGCTCCAAGTCCGCGCGCACGTCCGCGGGTATGTCGGTTCTCGACAGCTCCGACACGAATGTCATGTCAAACTTGTGGACACGCATGCCGACGCGGGCACGCGCGGCAAGCATGTCGGCCACGGCGCGGTATGGCGGCGGAACAAAGGCGTCGGTGGCGATAGCGACATGTGCCAGCTGCGGCAGGACGCATTGACCGAGGTCTGCGCCGCCGAGCATGGCGAGCATCTCGCCGACACGTGAGCACGTGTATTCCAGCGACTGGAGGGCGGGTGTGACGGCGAAGAGGGTGTGCAGATCAGACGACGGGAGTTCCGCGTTCATCTTCAGGCGAGTCAGGGAACAGCCGGAGCGCTCTATGAACGCAATGACACGGCCCAGCGTCTCGCTGCCGTATCCGATGATGAGCCGCAGGTCCTGGAGCCGGGGGGTATCTAGAGCCGGAAGGATTTCGTGTGCGCTGTTCTGGTAGAGGTCAAGCGTTCGCAGAGCCTCATGGCGGACTATAGTGCCAGTAGGGAAGCTCGGATCATCACGGAGCCGCTGGGGAGATGCTGCGAGCACGAACTCGGTGATGTTCGGCGCAGCGCGGAGGATGCCCAGCGCATGGCTCGCGTTGAACCCAGGACCAGCGACAAGGCGCGTCAGCTGTGCCCACTGGACTCCAGAATTGTCGAGATCAAGCCGGAGCTGGCCGGCCAAGATTAGCTCACGGAGGTCCGGTGAGCCAAAGACGAAGGTGAGGCGGCAGAATCCACGCTCCATGCTGTCCTCCGCAAGTATCGACAGGCTGCGCAGCTGTGGGAGTAGGTGTAATGGGTGCTCAGCAACAGTGCGCAGCACATCGGTGGGCATCCCAAGATGGAGGCGCTGTATGTGGAAGCCATGCGTCCAGAGAACGTTTGACACGATGTTCGTAGAGTCCTCGCCAGCGCGTGGAAGCGTCAGTGACAGATTGAGCGGCAGGGAGCCAGCCCGGTCGAGCCAGAGGGTCATCAGGGAGGCAAACATAGCAAGACTGGAGTCATATACTTCGCAAGATAGCGACGTCCAAAGTGTCGGGGTACCGTGGCAGACCGAGCGCCAGTGTCGACATACTTGGCCGAATAGCAGGGGAACGACGAGCGGAGTGTGTCCTGAGTCTCGAGAGAGCTGGGTGTCTGACAGCACAGTTCGGGGAAGGTGGGACCATATCTCCAGCAGGAGTTCGGGTGGAAGAGCAAGTGCCATGGTGGTTCGCAACAAGAAGGATCGGTTGTTCCCACGTTGATCCCTATCATGCGTAAGCGGATCACATCAGCGATGAGTCATGACTCTCTTCTTCTCAACAGTCATGGTCGCTCGCTCACTGTTCATCCGAAGCTGGACCAGAATCCTCCCGCCAACTGAAACCTACACTAGTCAATAAGAGCTCGCAAAGGGTTATCCGGTTCGGTCCTGTCGGGCAGGGCCACTGGCAGCCAAGCCGGCTGCCGGCAAACTCCCGCGGGCTTATTGACGCATTGTCCATCGATCGCAGGCTTTCCGAACGGACAAAGCACGCCCTCCTGAATATATAGCGCCCCCTCCTTGCTTTTCTCTGCCCACGTCGGAACCACTATGACCCTACTCGCAGAGCTCCCTGTTGAGCTGCTCAGCGCCATCGCGCAGGCCGTGGGCAACCAGCGTAGGCTCACCCGCCTCGCCCGCACCAGTCGCCGCCTCCAGAAAATCTGCCTCCCCGTCCTTTATCGCACTGTCGAGCTCGACTCCCGTAAGGGATTAAAACGGTGGCTCCGCACAATGCAGATCAAGACGAAGTATGCCCGGCTCGTCAAGTTCTTCGTACTGTGAGTGCCACCCGCCCATTCCGAGTTAAGCAAACTGACTTCGTGCGATTTAGCACGCTTCCAGGGGACATTTTGCTCGATGAAGCCGCTGTCTTCGCATTGGCTACCACCCTCGCGACATGCGGGAAACTACGCACACTTTCCGCTTCCATTTCGTCGACGTCATCGTTGGCAGAAAAACTTGTCGCGATCCAAGCCGCTTTCCCCTTACTGGAGGTCCTCACGATCCCCGACTCGTGCAGCGATCCCCACTCACTCGCACTCCTCGCTCAGCACCCCTCCGTCCGTCAATTCGAGATAATACGCCAGACCAGCGAGGACTCCTCGCTTGGGCTGCTGCCAACCACCCACAACCTCCTTTCCTTCCAAGGCCCTATCGCTGTTCTGGGAAATCTGATACATGTTCCCGCAATGTTTGCGTCCATGCAAGTCGTTACCTGTTGGCACACGGACATAGTGAACTCGGATGATCATCCCATCCCAGAGCGAGCTATCCGTTTATTGGAATTCTCTGTCCACGACTGGCATCCGGTCTATATACAACTCTTCCAGCTCAAGAACGGAACCTTCGACGCTCGCTGGCAGGACCTCCAGGAACTCCGTATCGTAAAAGCCCGCGAGTGCGATCGGCCTCATTTACGCTACCAGAAAAAGGTGCGATTTGATCCCTTTCCCCCCTCCCTGCTAAGCCCGGCCCGTTCCTTTACAGTTCAACGCGTTTCTAAAGGCCTTTCGCCCGCTCCTTGAACACCTCCCTCGCCTGGAGATATTGAACCTTAGCGACGATTTCCGCGAATGCGTGTTCCACAACCCCGCTACCCAGCTACCACACGTCGAGAACGAGATCCTGTTCCTCCGGCACTGCGCCGGCCCGGCACTGCGGAAGTGCCGGCTGCCCGAAACCTGCATCAGCTGGCGGCGTGCCGTAGATCTCGGCCTGAACCCGGTGTGGCTCCCGCGCCTCCATGCCATCAGCACAGACGCTCTCTCGCTACTCAACTGGTTCATCCCGAAGTGTCTCGGCAGCTGGGGCCCCGACTACGCCCGCGCAGCATTTCACCTGCTCGGCGTGGAGGACGACACGACGGCGCGCACGAAGATGGCACAAATGGCGGACACTCAGTCGGGGTCCCAGCTCTGTGCCCACTTGGGACTGCTAGAAAACTTGCAGAAGCTGACCGGGGGACTTGGACTCGATGATGATGACAATGATTTCTTGGATGACTTGGATGATGCGCTGTGGAACTAGGTATTAGAGACACGAGTCCTTGTCCATTTCCATTATGCTTACGATAACATTGGGAAAATGTGGAATTACTGAGCTGTATTATTTGAATGCTTTTCTCTGAAATGAATGGTTTCTCCAAAATCAAGTTAAGTAGTACCGAGTTTCTGATCAAATCTCCAAAAGACAATATTAATTTGCTACCTTAGGAATTGTTTTCACAAGTTTTGCGACAGATATACACCTAAAACTTTGAAGTGTTTACTGATGACACCAAGGTTCCGTTCAACACTATGTATCATAACGATTGAGATTGCTACCCAAGCACTGTACATCTAAGTCAATCAAGGAATTAAACAGTATCCGAAATATTCAAGACCAAGTAAAAGACACGGCCGTGACCTGTGCCTGCAGCCCAATACTCTGCAGACACGAATAAATGCTGCCCACATCGTTCCCACACACTATCCCGAACGTGTTGTCGCCCTGCGGCACGGCGTAGCACGTCTGCTTGACCGTGTTCCAATACGAGCCGAACTCCTTCGACGAGCAGCCGACCTGGAAGCTCGGGCTCGTGCCGGTGTCCCAGCCATACACCCCCGAGCAGAGCGACGTGAGGTGGTACTGCCCGTCGTTGGCAAGGTTCAGTCCGAAATACGCCTTGTTCCCCGCATCAGCGATGCTTGCCTTCTCGGTGGCTGTCCCAGTCGAGTGGAAGAAGAAGTTGCCGTTGATCGTGAGCGAGCCGGAGCTGCCGGGTCCGAAACATGCGGCCGGTGCAACGTTGGAGCCCCCAGCGGAGTTGGTTGTGGGGCTCTTCGATGGATCACCATCGGGCGGAACAGGATTGGATTGCGCCGGTTTTTGATTCCAGGTGTCAGTGAGGATCGAGGAGGCATCGGATGCGACGGTGCTGACCTAGTTCCAATCCAGATTTCAGTGGGTGGTAGTAAAAAAGACTGGCACTACGAACAGAGGAGATGATTGACGCGACTGAAGCCGGAATGGTTCCCGTGCCGAAGATGTCCGTCAGCGAAGCAATGGTTGACTGAAGGACATTCTGTGCGATGATGGTTGCACCGATAGTCGATGCCATTGCTGCAGGGTTATTCGCCACAGCCTGCACGTTACAAGTCAACACAATAAATTCCAAGAGTTTTCTCGCTACTTACAGCAGCCTGTGAGAATATTAGAACCAAGTCTAACGATAGAGTAAGGGTGACATACAGCGGCAGCGGCAGCAGCAGTGTTAACGTCTTGAGCAGCCTGAACAGCCGCAGAGGCTGCTGATGATATGGCTGGACTCGTTCCACTCAAAGCGCTCAAAGCTACGAGACGGTTAAACTTGTGGAGAAGATCAATCTGACAAAACTCACCAGCTTTAGCAGCAGCAGCGGCCGCCACAGCTTCAGCCGCATTTGTTTGAGCATCCGAGCTTGGTGTAGGCGTGCTCGTGGGCTTCGACTTGGTGCAGGTTGCGGCACGCGGAACAATCACATCTTCCTCGACCTCACGCGGCTTCGTGGTACGGGTAACGTTCACCGCTGCTGGGGCCGGTACAGGGTTGACACTGCCAATTGTGCATGGACGACAGTCAAATGAGTTGTAGCTGTTCGTTGGCTGGAGCGCAATAGCGTCGCTAGGATAGTCATACGGCGCGCGGGGAAGCGGAGGCGGCCTCCCTCGCTCGTCTTCGAGAATTTCAGTGTGGTCTTGATCTTGGCCATTAAGCCAGGCACTGCCGGAGTACAGCGAGCCGACAGCAAGTGGGCCAGCGGTGGCGGGACGGGTGTCGACCAGCTTGAGGGTAAACTTGTGGCACTGGCCGGCCCACTTGCCCTTGAGCTTACCCGGTCTCGACCATTCTGTGCGGGCATCGTTTGGAACACGGCGAAGTTTGGAGAGAGCAGTGTTTAGCGTCCCCTGGTACTGCTGCTCTTTCTCAGGGACAGCAGTCACGATCGCGCCATTCGCCTTGCCGCCTTCAAGTGTGCATTTGAAGGGGAACTCGTCACAAGAGACCTACGTATGTTATCGTTAGTAAAGCCAGCAGAAGTTAGAACCAAAGGGACGGGCCTTCCAGTACAACGGATCATGCTGCGTCCGATCGCAGGCCCCACTTTGCTTAAATGCGGCGGTAAGAGGCCTAGTACAAACGCTGTTCCGTCGACTGCTCGTGCTGAACGGGTCGTAGGTCAACACAACAGCATCGTTGGTAAGAAACCCGGAGCCGCGAATACTCGCACAGATGTTTGGCAAGTAGTCGCAGTAATATGTGAGCACGGGTAGTCGGCTGGGCGTGTCAACCGGGCCCCTACACACGTCAGACCGTACGGCTGGGCGTTTCTCCAGGTCCATGAAGACGTCGTCGAAGAGGGGAGTGCGCTCGACAAGTGAATAGTTGCGCTTCTCGATAGTCCCGCCAGTGAGGTTGAGCGGGATCTGAACTTTCTCCGTCCCATTGGATATGTATACCGGCGGCGGGGTGTTGGGTGGGAAGTATCGTGGTAGGGGAGTGCCGGGCTTGTTGAGCGACAGTGCTGTTAGACCAGGTTTGGGGACGATCTTGAAGGCTGCGAGGCGACGCGGAGTTTGATCTGCCTGCCTCGTCTGGAGCGGAGCTTCAGTTGGGTCTGGTGGCTCCTGTGGAGTGTTATCGTCGAAGCACAGAGAAGCGTTGTTGAACGGGCACGGGCCATTGGGGACAGGGTCCCACAAGTCGGTATTGTTGTCCCGGTCTATGCTGAGCGGGTCGGTAATGGGCTGGTTGCCGATAACGGAGACAATGGTGGCACTGGAGAAGTGCAGCCAGTCGTTCAAATTGAGGTACGGAATTTGTCCGTTGACGCAGAGAGTGCCTGAGCAAAACTAGACCACATGCATATGTGAGCATTAGTTGGGAACTCGCCATGGGACATACCCCAGTCCACGTCGCGATATCCGCCCACCACGCGAGGACGTCATTACCGGAGCTGTAAAAGAGTAAGATTAAGTCAAAGAGGTCGGACGAGCATTACCCACATCGGCCAGTTATTCGTGTTTGTTGTCTGGATGGTGTTGTAGAAGTAGTTGACGAAGTCAGCTGTAGAAATCTCAATAATCATGACAGCCCGACTGAGAGAAAGCTCACTCCAAGTCACAGGGCAGCCATTTGGAGCGAATGCGCAGGAGCCGACCATGGGGGCGTAAACCTGGGAGTCATCTCAGATCTCAGGTCGTATGCTCGACTTGGCCTTGCAGACTCACCTTGTTGTAGTCGAGACTGTTGATGCTGGCAAGCGTAACGCAAGTGCCCGCGCAACAGGCCGCGTCGATGACTGCCGCCGAGCCAGCACATGTGGCAGCGGCAAAGCACTCTGGAGCGCTCCAGAAGTTGTTCTTTGCGAGCTGCACAGACCAGTGAGACATGATCGGTAACAAAGGATAACGCGCACCTGTCCAGTCGCAATCTTGCTCACGCAGATGCCCACCAACGACGTGCAAGCGCTTTGCGGAGACGAGATGCACGTCCCATTCTGGGCGTTGGCACTACCTGGACCGAAAGAAAGTAGGATTGAGAATGAAAGGAAGTGTTTCCAGCTTCCCGACCGACGAGTCATTGTCGAGTGTGGATGGAGAACTGCTGAATTTTCAGTAGCTTTATACTTGATATGACGCTGTTAAGCTTACCTGGATGGAGAAGCGGAGGGCCGAAGCACTAGAGCTAGATGGTGCCAAGCATCCGCCTCTAAAATGTCCCCGAATATGGAGAGCATTCAGAGTGATTGTTGTCGACTCGGAGTGGGAGAACTTGAATCCAGTCTGGACTTTGACTGGAGCTCTGCAGCACGATATTGAGCTCGCTACACCCCAACATGAGCCACAAGATACAGGAAATCCTGCTCAATTACCTTCCACATCGCCCTCTGCACACCATTTGCTTCACAGGTGACAGCATACCGCAGCCGTTTTCGCTTGACGATTCCTGCAGACCGGGACGCTGAACGTGCGCACGAGAGAGGCTTTGCTATACACTCTAATAGAGAGCTAGACGCGGAGATGCGACCCGGAGGCGTATTTTGCGCGTTGGTCGGAGAGCGCTGACGCCTTGGTCAGAGTCGGGAGTAGACCAAGATCGCATCACCTGACCAACCACCTCTTGTCTTCCGCATTCATGGCCGCCGATAATCGGTGCCCGCTCCTGCTTTCTGCTCATTACTCCCCCGGGGGTTGTGTATAGGCTTGCAGTGCTCTCGCCCGTCAACATTGGCAAGCTCAGGTACGACTACAGTCTACTTGTGTGGGGTATTGAGCAATTAGCAGGACGAGGGCCTGGCTACCAATAGTAGCCTGATAGTAGCACACAAGCAACCAAACCCTGAAACGCAAAGCGATGGATGATGAGTTGTTACCGGGAGAGAATTAGAATTGGGAATGGCCTACCGGTGTGTGAAAAGCGTGCTCTTCTTGAGCTCGGTCTTACTGACCAGTGACCGTTCGTCCTTCAGGTGGGCCTCGTTCACGAAAGCCGCGCAACTTGCCTCACTGACTAGCAAATTTGGTTGTGTTGTCTCCCGTCCCACACCCACTCCGTCGACCTCGTTATCCACACATCTCATCTCACAAGACTGTCCACGCTTCATTCTCAAGTCGAAACTTGTACCGCTCGCTGGCTAACGAAGCCCTCATTGCAACGCGGACGGACTAAGCCGCCCTGATGATGATGATATTATCTTCGTCGCGTCTGTCGTGCATATCGAAGACTACGCCGAGGAGTGAGGAGACACACGCTGGTCATGACCTGAACTCTTCCCCCGCTTTATCCTACCCTCACGCAACGATGTTCACTCTCGCTATTCCTTCCATAATGGTGCTGTCCTCCTCCTCCGGCTCCGTGCGACGATATTGGCTTTGAAGGAGAAGTGCACTTTCGTCGACTTCTTTGTAGCAAGGAAGTCCCCATTCAAGCTGGCTTCTGGATCTCGTGCCTATTTTCCGGATTAACTTCCTTCCTCGACTGCTGCCGTCGAATGTTGTCTTCAGGCACCGTCGTGGGCTCCTTCGCGGTCCCTCACCCAGCCAACGGACCGCAGGAGCATCCATTTACCATCGGCACAACGACCACTTCCCCTACGCATTCATTCCCAGCGGCATTGCTGGCGCAATCTGCGGCGCGGTCCCCCCCTCGCCATTTGGTCCCAAAAAGGCAGTCACGTGCCATACCTGCGCCAAAGGAATCGATGTATCGCGGCCTACACGGATCGTAAAGTGACATCGACTGTATTAATATACCCCCATATGCTGGTTCAAGACCCCAACTCCTTTAGACGCGCTAGTCGATCCAAAAGCCAGTCGTTCTGGCGATGTTTATTTGGGAGCATGGAAATGGTGTTGGGGCTGACGAGCGGGGGGCCTGGTGCCTCTTGTGTGTTTATTCATAAAGAGTAGAGGGTTCATTATGGTGGACGGGCAATGTTTAATGAATGGCCACTGAATGGGAGCGTGAATACGTTCAGTGTGTGGCGAGACAGAACCTGCCTCCTCCTCAGGCTGGTCATGGTTACTTCTCAGTACCTCCATCTTTGTCTCCAATTTTATTTTATCCCCTCATCTAATTAACCGCTTTTCCTTGATTTTGTGTCAATATGTGTGGAATGTGCATGGTCCAATATAAGTATAGAGTCAACGATTTGAGGTATATTTGGGGCAGACGGAGGAAGTATTAGAACTAGTATGTACAGTTCTTAAGCTCTAGTATGGTTATCGAAAGGCCAAATTACTCGTAGCCCAGCGGCATGTTTTCGCCACATCGGCACCACGACCCAACTCCGGAAGAGAGGGTCGAATACACCTGCACGCAGGAGCGGATCGAGCCACGGCGGCACCGTGAGCGCGAGCCACGTCCAGAGCCAGAAGAACCCGAGTATCCGCCATCCCCGTTCTCGTCCGCCGCCGGGCCGGCGGCCTCGGAAGACGCGCCGGCCGGTCCGGACGGCTGCGTCCTCGAATGCAATCCCGACGGCCTGCAGCACGAAGAAGCGCAGCCCGCCGCCGCCGGCCGGAAGGCACCGGAGGGCGGCGCATTCGGGCAGGAGGTGCATTATCCCGGAGACGAGGAAGACTGTGTAGAGCTGGGTGTAGGCGGACGCTTTGGTGCCGCGGGGAAGATGGAAGAGGCGGTGGGCAACGAGGTGGCCGTGCGCGGTGAAGAACTAGCGGGTTGGTTAGTAAGAGAAAGAGTGATAGTAAAACAATGGTAAGAAATAATGAAATCAGTGGGGTGGGACTCCGAATCGAATCACTTGATGCCTTCAGGCTTTACCCACCCCAAAGACACATAAGAATAAAGCAAGGTATAACACACCTCACGATTGTTCTGGTGCCACCATTTCCCCCAGAAATTGCGCAGGTTGTAGAGCAGCAATGGCGATCCGACGCCAATGTGTCCATGGCTTGCGGACGATGAGCCGGTTGCGACTGCCCAGGCATCGCCTAGCAGGGCGGGGAGGACCAGTAGCAGGAGGACGAAAGGAGCGCCGAACAGAAAGATATTGGCGTAGCGTTGCACGACGGAAGTGCCCGCAAGAGAGTATTTAGAGGATATCTCGAGCGAGCGCCGGAGATAGAGCGAGGGGGTGTGGGTGAGATTGTACATGTTTATGAGTTCGACGACAAGGAAAGTTGCCAGCGCAGCCAATAATCGCTGGAGAACGAACAGCCATTTAGAGGTCGAAATATTGGGGCTTTTTTCGAGTTTCGAGTTATCATTCAAGTCCTCGCCAGCGAGCCTTACTGCCCAGCCAACTCGTTCCCTCAACCCGACTTCTCCCAGCCTCTTCCCCTCCAAGCGAACCTCCAGAGCACCCCTCACCCGCTCCGGCTCGATCACCACCCTTCCCACCGCCGCAAACAGTGTTATCCACACCCCGGCATTCATATAGTGCCCCACGATTGGTGCGCCCGTGTCTACCCTAGCCGCCGCAAGCGCAACCCCGAGCAGCAGGGCGACGCCCGCCGTGCGCCAGAGCAGCGACGGCAGACGCGGGGAAAGCACTGCGGTCAGCGCGCCCACGTATATCACGAAGAAGGCGAGGGCGAGCTGGTTGAGCGCGAGGGCGGCGTTACGGTCGATGTCATTGATGAAGGTCTGTGCCAATGGCGGGACCGAAGAACCCATGAAGGCGGATCGAGAACTTCAAGGAGGACACGTCATTGCGTGTCACGTGACACTCACGTGACACATCCTGTGTCACGGTTATAGCCGACACAACATCGTCCTCGGGCGGCCACAACCGATGTTGGACAACAGACGGTCTAGACTCGGACATGCCATGATCGTCTACCAACACGCTGATGATTGATCTTTGACGGTCGTCGGTCGGCAAACTGCTTCTGAGTTCTAGAGCCAGCTGAATCAAGGACATCAAATATGGCAATATTATGGCAACATAATTCTGGAAATCGCAAAGAACATGCCCTCAGAGGTTCTCCTCCTTCCTTTCCTGGATCAGATGCCCAAATATTGGCAGATATTGGCGTCGTGACGCGGGACATTATATAGGAAGGCCGTAAGTACGGACATGTCCACTTTCCCTGCGGCGCCATGCTGCAATGATGCTGGTCTGATTCGCGTAGTATTTGTGGGGGCGAAGCCGTCGCTTAACGCAGTCCGCTTAGTGGTGTAGGCGCGCCGTGCACTAGTTGGTAGGAGTAATCGCAGGCCGTCGCCGAGCCCATATATATTCAGAGGGTCAAGCCGAGGAAGTGGTTCTGGTGCGCTTCTTTCTTCCCCAATTTTTCCCTGGTCACCTTCTCCTCAGGCCCTCCAAGATGGAAATTGTGCGTAGTGCCTTCCGGTTGATGCCGCTCAGCTGGCTGAAGCTTTCCTGACAACCAGCCCGAATACTCCGATATCCTCGTCATTGGCGGTGGACCAGCCGGATCCTACGCCGCTGCCGCTCTCGCTTGCGGTGGGTTCTTTTGTTTCTGCGGCAGGTCAGTACTAATTCACGCGAACTTGAAGAGGGCTACCAGGTAACACTGTTGGAGAAAGAGCACTTTCCAAGATACCATATCGGCGAGAGTCTGCTGCCCTCATGCCGGCCATTCTTGCGCTTCATCGACGCCGAGCAGAAGGTCGACAATTTCGGCTTCCTGGTAAAAGTAATTTCGTTCTTGTGGTCAATGCCGAAGTGTTGTGCTGATTCCAGAGTAGGTCGGCGCAGCGTTCAAATTCGACCGCAATAAGCGTGAAGGCTGTGAGTCTTCGCTGAGTCCCGATCCACGCCCAGACTCATGGGGAGCGCAGACACGGACTTTATCAACCCCAACCCAAATAACGCCGCGTGGAACGTTGTGAGTCTCCAGCATCCTTCTGCCTGAAGAGCTCATAAACATCACCAGACGCGCGCCGATTTCGACGAGCTCCTTCTCCGCAACGCCGCCCAACACGGTGCACGCGTGGTCGAGGGAGTGACTGTCGGTGCAATCAAGTTTGCGGACCCCGACGTTGAGCCCACGAAGTTTCAGCCCGTATCGCTCGAGTGGAAGAGCGACCAGGGGACATCGGGCGAGATTAGATTCAAATATCTGGTTGATGCTTCAGGGAGAAATGGGCTGATGTCGACGCGCTACTTGAAGAATCGCCATTTCAACCAGGCGCTCAGAAGCGTCGCGTATTGGGGATACTGGACGGGCCAGGAGATGTATGCGCCGGGAACGAGCCGAGAGAATGCCATTTGGGTGGAGGCGTTGACTGGTATGTCGCAGTGGTGTCCCACCTGCGGAGTTTTCACCGCCAATTAGACGAGAGTGGTTGGGCTTGGTTTATTCCGCTGACGGATAAGGTATCTGTTGGCATTGTCTTGAAGGAAGAGGTCGCAAAGGAGAAAAAGAAAGGCTTTTCCGGCCCCAACGCCATGCGGGACTTCTATAACAGCCAGCTCTCGTTAGTGCCAGGTGTCACCAAGTTCCTCCAGCCCGCAACGTTCCATGGCGAGGTGATGACTGCCGGAGACTACAGCTACTCCGCACCCGTCCACGCCGGTCCAAACTACCGTATTGCTGGCGACGCTGGCGCTTTCGTGAGTTTGCTTGGCTTTGATGACCGTATAATCTGACAATAGTTTTCGCAAGATTGACCCATACTTCTCCTCCGGTGTTCATCTCGCTTTTAACGGCGGGCTCACGGCCGCTGCGACCATCGGCGCTTCAATCCGGGGCGATTGCACAGAGGAGGAAGCCGCCAAATTCCACACTGCCAAAGTTGGCGCGTCCTACACTCGGTTAGCTTCCCTCACTCTCAATGATTCTGCTTACCCTTGATGCAGATTTATGATAGTCGTACTCGCCGCCTACCGCCAGATCCTCCATCAAAGCGCGTCAGTACTGACGGATGTGGAGGAGGACAACTACGACCGCGCGTTCTCCTTCATTCGACCTGGTACACATTGTGTTTAGATCCGCCGCTCACGCGCTGACCTTCAACCTAGTCATCCAAGGTATGGCAGACACGAACAAAGGCGTAACAGAAGACCTGCTGCAGTCGACGATGGACTTCTGCGAATACGCAATGGGCATGACCGATCCAGAAATGCATGCGGAGGTCGCCAAGCGTGTAGACCCTCAACTTCTGGCGCACGAGGGCCCGCTGAAGAGCGTCGAAGAAATCAAGGCGATCGCGGGGGACGACATGGAGGTGGAGATCGTGTTGCGAAGGGTACAGGCCAGAAAGGCGCTCGAGGCGCTGCAGTGGCAGCCGAACTTCCGCGGGGAGATGTTTGAAGGGCTGGGTATACGACTCGAGCGCGGGAAGTTGGGCCTGAAGCGCGCGGAGGCGGAGGGACAGTAACTACCCAGGATTATCAGCCAAACTCTATGATGAGCGGGATGTTATGCGGCATTCGTTGTGTTTTGTAATCCTATTAACATTGACCCCATGTAATGCCACGGAGGAAATCGTTACGAACGGGTCTCCGATGCCCATTTCCGATGGCACGCCTGTATTCCACGTCAAGAGAAGCGCGATTGGTATCGTCTGATCCGAGTAAGCTGCTCGCCTACTAGTAAAAACCGAGTTTGGTCATCGAGAGCTGTGTCGGCTGCTTGATCAACTCGGAAATCTCTTGAATCGACGGGCAGGCAGTACCAACAAAATGGCAGGGTGGGTTTGGGTTGGATTTGCTGTCGGACGCTTTGCGAGTAAAGTTCAGGAAGCCGCATGCCTGCAATCTGATAAGAACCTGAGAAGCAATCGTATCAGATAAGGAGGATAAGATGATAGCCGCAATAGGACCGATTGTCTCACCCGTAAAATGCGCCTTCAAGTTTAATGCAGGGACGCGGAGCCGCTTGGAGTCGGGCAGGTGATAGTAAATGCCAAAATACTGTTTTGTGGTCGAATTTTCGGAAATATCGATGTTGTCGAGCGAAGTCCAATGTTCACCGAAGCTAGATTGCAGGGTCAGCGAAACCGAAAATAACTTTCCCGCATGGAGGGGAACACTCTCACAAGAACCCATGAGTTTGAGACAGATAAAAATGCCTTGTCAGTCGAGACGAACAAGACCCGACACCCAAAGTCCCCCCCGTACTTCGCTGTATCCACACTTGAGCAAGATGGCCAAGAAGCCCACCGACGGAGTCGACTACCACGACAAAATGATCATTGCGCATGGTGAATCGTTAGATTGAGGCCATTGTGTTTGCTCACCTTTCGCCAGCCGTCTTCGCGTGCATCGCTACCCTCTTCACTGCCCCTGCCGCCATCCTAATCGGGCGATACTTTCGGGGTCGCCCATGGTGGTTCAAGGCGCACCTCTGGCTCCAGTCAGTCACTGCATCGTGCATCATCATCGTATTCGCTGTTGGCATCGTCGCGGTTCTGTCCGGCGCCTCCCACATCGTCCAGCTCACCGGCCCTAAAGCGGATGCGCATCACGACCTAGGCCTCGCCATCCTTATCCTCTTCCTCCTCCAATACCTCCTCGGAATCGCCGCGCACTACACCCACTCTGCGGGCCCGGCCGGGGCAGAAAGGCGCCGCGTTTCCCACCCTTTCGACCCCGAAGCACGCCCTCCGCCACCTGCACGTGTTTTGCGGCGTTGCAATGACAGCGCTGCTCTATGCTGGTGTTAAGACGGGCATGGACGAGTGGGACACCGTCAGCGACATGGGCACCCGTGTGCCGAGTGGCATTGTGGTCGTTTATTGGTTGTTTTTTGGGATCGAGGTCGCGGCGTACTTGTTTGGCTGGGTCATGGAGCCACTTCGGGCCAAAAAGACACAGAGAGCCGCCGCCTCATTAGATGGTGGTAGCGAGGAAAAAGTCGCGGTCGAAGCGTAGAGTCCGGGTCAATCGTGCCAGTGGAGCGTGTTGTTCTCTAGGCAAGACTAGTGGTGGTGCTCATATTTCTGTAAGAACGAGTGCTTTGGATGAAAATTGTTGACGTGACGCATGACGTGATGCGTGACATGATGACGTGTCCTCTTTGCCGATCGCCACATCATGGTTCTCGCCGCAGACTGAGCGGCGCCTCCAGGCTGTGACTCCACACTCTTGTTCTGCGGGCCAGGCGACACGTCTACCGCTCCGGCGCTGGCAGCCCGCCCGCGAGACTTGCAAGAAACTCTGACGCTGGGAGGTTGACTCGGAGGGCATTTGCATCATATTCGTTCCTGCGGCGTGTATGCATTGGACCAGTTCCACAGCTGGTCTCAAGTTGTAATTTTAGAACTCCCACAGCAACACCCGCCTCACGATCTACAGCATGTCAAGGCGTACTAGTAGCGATCTGCTCCTTTCTGATGCCAGTGCACGGCAAATTGAGTACAGGTTTAAACATAGTCATGAAAAGATGACTGATTATCAATGAATTCGGCCGACTAGTATAAGATGATGGATCCTGATGCCATAGAGACCCTGTCCACTACCCCCCAACGACCGATGCCACCGCTTTCCCGCTCACTCTCAATTCCCAGCCTTCACAGTGTCCACAGCTGGTGGTCAGATCGAAACAATGTTGGAGCAACCTTTGATTTGCATGCTACCACAAAGCCTTTGCTCCGATATTTACATAACCGTGCTGCCCGTCAGCTCCTCAAAGCACATTCCTCTGATTATCTAGCAAATGATACCTTATTGCTGTATGGCATATATCTCAGGTGTGCAAATCAATGGCATCATATCTCTTTCATTGCGCTTAATATTCCAGATCAATGTATATCTCGACTCAAGTTAAAGCTCTCTTGTTTAACCAACTATATCTTGCCTTCACAAGTGGAAGTCAGCAACAAATTACAGAGTGGATTCTCTTCCAGGAGCCAGACCTTCTTGGTTCCTTTCTAGTACAGCCTAGTCCAAATGCTGCACGTGTTTCTAGTCTCTATCTCCTCAAGGCTATTGCTGAAGCTGGAACACAATTGCCCATTTTAGTGCTTTCACCATGCATATCTCAATTGCTCACAACAAATCAATCGTAAGCTATTGATATTTACATAAGTAGCCTATACATATAATCTGATGTGGTTTAAAAGGCATACATCTACATATGCTGCTCTTGCTACTCTCTGCAACTATAGGGCAGGAGCTGATGCACTTGTAAATGCACTTTGCAAGTCTGAAGGTTCAGAAATCCATATGGACAAGATAATAGGAATTGTCCTTCAGAATGAAATTCTTACACCTGCCCTCAATGAACTCTTAACAGCTGTATGTCTTCCTTGCTGACATTGGATTGGATTCTGAAAATATTATCTCAAAGTCAAATACACTGCAGGATAGCTTCAAACTGACAGTGAAAGTTGTGTTTAGTGCCCATAAAGCAGCAGAGCAATTGATATTGCTATATCATCATTTTTCTATGTTGGGCGAAGGGTTCCTGGAAAAACCTTCCCAGTCTATTCATCTTCTGCCAGAAATCTTAGAACTTGGTCCAAACTCGGAAACCTGGGTTGCACTGATTGACTGGGTGGCTAGTGAGGGCTATATTAAGTGGTCAGCAGAGCCTCCACCTAAAGCTTTCAGCCAAGTAGTCTCCTTATTCAAAGTCATTGCAGAGTAAGTCTTTCTTCTTCTCCTTTGCTTTATACAATAGCTTATATAGACTCTGATATGTTTCAGGAACCAAGACTTCAATGCATGTGTCAGACATCTTGCATTTCTTGAATTGACATCACAGCGCATGCCATACAAATGGAAAGAGCAGAGGCTAAATTTGAATGATCTTTTCCCCTCTATTTCTTGAACTGGTCACCGTAGCATTCAGCTATTGAGATTATTTTCATAGCATATTGGACTTACACTATGGTAGTATACTGTCCTCTTTCAATCAACTGCTTACATTATATGTTACATTGACCCAAAAAAACTCCTTGTGAAAAATCATTGTAAATCAAAACAACCTTTTTAGCTCCAAATTACAAAAAGAAAGTGGCAGACACTTAATTATAATAAGATAGTACAAAACAATTTCAGATGTAATTATATCACATATATATACAGTTTGTTTTGTCCCATTATTTGGCCTTTACATCATATGTGTATGATAGTCATATTTGAGTGTTTTGATCAGGTGTCTACATTACAAATAGGTAGACAGTTGATCAAAATACCCTACAGTGATGCACTCTAATCAACTTGCACTTCTCCTTTATGTTTGTTTTTCTCTCAATATTATGCCCTTTTAGCTAGCTGTGCTCAGTTGAGTAATGTTAATGTGCTGTAAGAGTTATTAAAGAAACATCATGTTACTTTTGTTTTCCCTACTGGGTCTGGACTGTCAGGGTGTGATGTCGGGCGGCACTGCCACTGGCTTATTGGTCCCGCTAGGCTGGAGTTATCAAAGGATCCCTATATAAGTATAAGCACAGACTAATGCAGGACACTCTCTTCTTACCCTGCAATACTATTCAGTTGAACTCTGAACCAGTGATACATAGAAGGCCTTAATAAAGGCCTTCATTATATGCTAAGGGCTTAGACCTTAGCATAAGGCATAGACCTTATTCAGGGCTTAGGTCTTAGTGTCCATAAAAGGAAATTTTTGATCGCAATAATTGAATATAATAAATTGAATGCTACGGTTTAAAGACCTCATCATCATCTATCTCGATTGCACCATCATCCAGCTCATCATTATCCTCATCCAACTCAGCCATCACCTGCATATACTGCTCCTCCTCCTCTTGTGCTCTTTATGAAACCCGCGTTCGAAGTGATTCTTTAACAGGAGATATCCCAAAAAGACTGTGCAGAGTAAGTTTATGCCACTGTCGGGGCCTACACGGGGGCTGGTTATCAGGTAGTGGGGTAGAATTGTCCTCTTCCATGCTGTCAGCAGCCATATCATTGCCTACCTCTTCTGTTGCTTCAGCAGCTGTGCAGGAATCGGCAATCCATCCCGCCATTGCTGTTTTCTATACAGATTGGGACTGCACTAGAGCTCGGCCACGCTCGGACGGATCCTCATTGTTTTGGCCCTGCAGAGGATTGGCATAACGTGGAACTGCAAGAAGTGCTACAACATTCTTGTGGTTATTTTATACGCGTTGTTGGACTTACAAACCGTAGGCGTGTCGTTATGCGTCTGCTGTGTCACGTGGACACATCGCGTATGGACTTGTGCCCAATGCACACTTGCCTTTCTTTTTCCTTGCTCATTATACTACTTAGGATACTGCCTTTGTACAGACAGATTTAGATATTCTTGTTCTACATTTGTATTTAAGCTAGCTAGTCAGTACAATCAACCAGTTCTTTCCATCATTTTGTGTCGTATTCAACACGTGTCGCTCCTTAAATATTCCCACAGTTTGGTGCTTGGAGTGAATTTTATAAGGTACCTGCATCATATTCAGCCAGCCCCAACAGACCAAATGCGGACACAAACCAGGAGCAACTCCTTAGTCTTGTCTAATCCGAGACAGTTTCGTCGATCCTTGGTGGTTTCCTTGACAAATGAAAAGACCCGTTCAACAGCAGCTTGATTCACGATAATCTTGAAAATGAGAAGCGCCAACTCAGCAAGTTCGTACACCATTGTGTTAAGGTAGCCAATCTACCACTGATTTGGGTCATATGTCTAGTTAACTGAGTATTGGCGAGTACGAGTTGGAGAGAAAATTATACCTCATCAATAGCATACTTCTCCCCACTTGCAACATGCTTTGTCTAGGATGCAAAACAGTGGATACCAGCAAGATAGTCTCCAACTGCATTGAAAACAGCAGTCTCACCTGCAACTGTCGCCTTTGAGCCGGGACGAAGGGCAAGTCGGCGATACATCTATAAAAAGATCAGTCACATTTCGCAGCGAAAAAAGCTACATTCCTGGTCTACAATATCAATGACCTTGAAATGATCGAGATTAGTGCTATTGCTAAAGCATGACAGCTGCTCCCAGGGATTGAGTATAAGGGCAATGACAAACATGGTCCCATTCACCCCAGCGCTTCTCAAGGCGCCGCACCATCTCATCCCTCAGAGCCATTTCAGGTTGCTCCACAAACCGGAGATACACCCCGACCAGCCCTAGTAGTACCTGGTCCGCTCACGTCAAATCCCTCTGCGCCAGATTTGTCACGTAGCAGATAGCTTCTATATCACTGAGCACCTGCTCAAGCCCATCCCAGAACGCGGGAATCATCAACCATGTCACAGTGCTCCTTCGCATCGGCCGACAATCATGCAGCTTCTGTTGATTGGGCAGCCCCAACCTGTGCCTTGATGATGTTGTCACACTGCCAGCCAACAGCCATAGTGATAGCCTTCTTGAGATCGACTAACTGGGCAAATGTGGTAAAATGCATGGTCCAGCGGGTGAGACACGTGACCAGGTAAGCAAGGGCAGTTTTTGTGCCAAGTTTAAGCTGAGCAGCATCGAAGATAACCCAAACCTTGCTATGATTCTTGATCCAGGAAGTAACGGCAGTTGCTTGCTCAGCGATTGACTTGGCCGCGTCCCAGGACTTGAAATAATCGCCAAGAATAAGCTGGAACTGCATGCAGATGAGCTCAGGAGATTTTTTTCTGGAACTACCAACCTGGTGTGCCATACATGAGACTGCAAACAAATAAGGTCACAGCTTCAGGAGAAGCTTTCATGCCTTTAGACTGCCGCCATCTGTCATAAAGTGCG